AAGAAGTTGCACAAGCAGGCGTAGATTCGAAAAAAACAAAATAACAACCCAAAATGGACCCCAAAGGCCAATGTCAAAGTATAGGGATTGTCAATGCACACAATAGGGGTTGAACAACTGCTATTTAAAAAAGAAAATGGTCGAGGAAGTAGGATGCAGCCATGCAAGCATTTTGTTCCAACGCCTGAGGCAAGCAGCTCAACAAATGTCTTGGTGTTTGCCCTGCGGGTTGAACATGATCACATGTGTCCACAGCATGACTGCAAGGCGATGTTTCCAAGTGGAGTTGTCCGAAAAGTCCTTGTACAAGAGAAGAAGACCGCGTAGAAGAAGTATAAGGTCTTGCATATTGGCCAAGGAAACTTAATATTTGAAAGGCTCCAAACATCATTTTTTGAAAGGCTCCAACTGGGACAATGCGTCTCCTGGTCCACTTGTGGAAACAGACAGCCTGTGAGCCGCCCACCTTCAGCCAAGGTGCGCGATCTGCCGCACCGCAGTCATATTGGTTGTACTCTGCTGGTTGGTCACACCCTTTGAGCCGAGCTAAATCAAAGCAAGCACTGGATGTACTCTGGATCAATGGCCAAAGCTCCAAGAGACCAAGTTCTGTGCTGATTAGCCCCAGAAATCAGAGATCCCTCAGACAAAACACGCATAGGAGTATCCATAGTTCTCTGGATGTAATCATCTCAATCCACTGTTTTGTCGGATGAGATCACACGGCATGAGAGTGGTTGCCCTTGTTGAGACACACATCTCGGCTTGTAACTCTGCCCTGCCTACAACACAACAACAACAATTGGGGATATCACAGCAAACAAATCAATTTGCCTGCGCAGCAGTCACGACTTCGGGTGATAAGGCTTGCTTTGTACTATGCCACATATGCACCTGCAGTTTAAACTCGACCCTCCTTACTTCCAAGTAGCCAAATTTCATATGTGCTAGCCTTCAGATTCAGGAGGGGAATCGTATCGCATTTTTCACACAAGAGGGAGACTTGTTGCTGGGATGCCAAATTGGAGGCTGCTTTAACAAGGGCTCGTCTTGGGTTCATTGCCGAAAACACAATCCTCATTGTGGCGGCTCAAACAACTCTCGATTCCATCAATCGAATTCGATGCAAATGACTCATGACAGGTAACTGTTTACATGTGCATATTAGCCTCCCACCAGCTAACATGGAAGTGCACAGACCCCTGTAGAAACACGACTTTCCTCTTGGAAAGGGCCTTCTTGCACTTCCATGTAAGTTGGTGAGACGGTATGTCAATGTGTTTGCAGCAACGTTCATGGCCGATGGATGTCGCCACATCCCACTTCCCTCACCCCCGTACCCCCGTCCGGCCAGTTCCTCCGGGCATCGGTTTGTCCAGCTAGCTCGGGCTTCGTCGGGCTCTGCACAAGTGACATAGGCAATACTGGGGTCACTATTTCGATTGCTTCTAGGGGTTGTCAAAGTCAGAAAATGGGGGTTGTTTCCCTGTAACCGATCACTTGGGTGACTTTGATCATGGTGTAAAATAATGAGGCCAGCAATAGTCGCCCCTGGTTCCCTTGTGGGATCCAGTGCATCTTTCATTATGTTGCAATAACGGCTGCAATCAGAACAAGTGAGAGAGGATGTAGATGACCAAGAGCGCTGCCAACGACTCTGGGAAGAGCTGGCGACCCGCATTGACGCTGCCATAGGAGTCGACCACGCACTGGCTGCCGCTCCAGCAGTAGCCTCTCTTGGTGCAATTTTAGGGTGTCTCCCGTGCGAACCAAGCCCAATTCCTATTTGAAGTTTTGTGCGTCTTGGTCATCATCTTTCCAAGGCTCGGAACACTCTGTTTTAGTTTGTCAGCTGTAGTTCTAAAACAAAAACAATGCCAAATACTTGTTTGGCTTCACACTGGGATTGAGAACGAAAGGAAAGAATCGCTTACTCATGAGTCAGCTTCTAGGATGCTGCCACTCAAGGCTAATGTCACATAACTTAGAAATATCACTTCGCACAAGGACAACAATCAAATATGTTGAACATTCCGCGCGGATACACAAAAACAAATCACCAAATAATGCGCCTCACCAAGCCCAGTCGTGGTCTGTGGCCCCAACCAACTACACGCCAGCTCCAATGAGGCTGCGGCAAAGCCACTTTGGCTTTTGCCGAAAAGGAAATGCGACATTGGATCATGGAAGACGTGATAGTCCGGCAGAAGCATGTGATGTCCAAGGTTGCCCAAAGGGCATTTATCCGTCCTTGATAGATGTGCTTAGCATTTCTTCAAGGCTTGAAGGGTCTATGAATTCAAACCCTGGCACTTCCGTTCACCTGACGTGATATTGCATGCTCGCCTTATTCTCTTTCCAGCCCGTCACCTGGGGCGATTCATAACATATCCCCGGCCGCTTCGGTTTTCAGAGTTGAATAAGTTGCGGACATTTGCTGCACAAGTTTGGTTCCCCGATAAAAGAATTAGCCATCAGGGGGGCTATGTCCACGAACCGTTTGGGTACGTGCCAAAATAGGGATCTGGACAGCCAAAAGTTGGTCTTCGTTTGGGCTCCCCTTGAAACTGTCCTTCTGCAAAAGGCTCCGTCCAAAACAAAGCGCCAAGATGCCGCTTAGGCATTGGCAGGTGCCGCTGCTGCAGAAGGAGTTCTGCACCGAGCAGCTGCTGCCTCAGGCGACATGGGGAAGGTGCCTGAAACCCGAGCTGACTTCTGGTTCTACATAGTTTATGTAGGCCACACTGAAAACCCTAAGAAGCAAGGTAAGACAGCCGCCAACAATGGCCCACTCGTGTTTGGGGCCCAAAAACCTCATATTGTACAGGTGCCATACTCAAACCTCCGAATCTGTGGGCCACAGTCACAAGCAGTGTGCGGGTATATATGTATTTGATTTGAATGCAACCAATGCATATACTGCAAATACCCGGTGAGTCGTCAACACTTAATGCATAGCCCTAGAATTCGGTAACGTTATCGGCGTTGGGGCATCGCATCGCTTTACTGTTCCTAGGTGAGTCGGTCCTTCTCTTCATCATGCCTTCTTTGTGTGCTTTCTGTTTCACTTCCAACTCTTGGCAAGAATGAACCCACACTACACTACTATACAGAGCTCATCTTTGTAGGCAGTGTGTGTGGCTTATGCTGCTCGTGACTGCTTGAGCACAATTTTGGGCAAACAGAAACGGTCAAACGTTTCAAATTTGAAGAGTGTGAGTTTTGGAGCTTGCAATGCATTATGTATGTGTTTGGGACACGGGGAAGAGGGAGGCCTTGGTTACGGTCGCGTAGCGGCCAATGCTTTGCCTTTGCTGTGGGCTCGCGTGACGGCTGCTTGGTGAATTTTGGCGAAAGCTGCTCAGAAAGCTGCTTTGGAACATCACCAGTAACATCCTCATAGTCCCCTGCGACTGGCTTCCAGCGTCACCTGCAACATCCACTAGCATTGCTTGCGGCTGGCTTTCGGAAAGCAACGCGACCCAGAATTCAATGGAGGGTCCGAACATAGGGGGCCAAACATGGCCTTCTTTCGTAACAACCTCTAGCTAGCATCACTTCCACGCGCGCCTCGGCGGGCACAAGTTAGCGTTCACTACTGCCAAATCACAGCGGTGTCACATACTTGTTCCAGACATTCCCGCTTGTTGGCGGCGCTGCTGCATCAGTACACACAGGGAGTGTCACAAGGAGCCTTGTCTTGCAACGAATTGCCTGAGCAAAAGCGCATGCACACCAAGCAGGCAGAATAGCCTTTCTTGCATGCCAGCAGCCAGCGCCTTTCAAACCCTGCGGGCTCGGGCCTACCTTCCGCCCGAGACCCCAAGGGCCCAAGGCCCAGACCAGTGCAAGCCATGGCGGTGTCCGTGATGCATCCAGGGTTGGAGCTGGCGGGCGCCAAGGTCTGCTGCTGTGTGAGCACCAGGAACAGCTCCGGCTTGAAGGACCTAGCAGCTAAGAACATTCTCATAGCGAGTGCCAACCCCGAAAAAAGTGGACCAGGAACTCAAAGGCAGAACAGCAAGGGAGCGAGCAGCCTGTGGGATTTATCGAAGCTTTGATGATGCGTTGCCTAGACTTTACCCATACTCCCTTCTGTGAGATGTCCTTCCTCCATCTTTCACGTTCTTAGGGCTTGGTGAGTGTCGCTGCTGTTGTCACGGCGGCTTCTCTTGCTCTTGCCACCAACGTGTCAGTTAGGCAGAGTCGAACATTATCTTGTCGGCGTGGATCAAAGGTACAATCGGCAAGGGAGCAGCCGAATGACTGACGGGCTGTTCTACAAAACAATCACGCATGTCATGTTCTAGCGCCCGGCAACTCTTTTCGATCACCACGTCATACCAAAAGCTACGGTGGTTTAATTATCTTGCTGCTGTCTTCATTCACCTCAGCCTGTCTCTGATGGTCCATCTCGCTCGCAAACTGGCTTGTTTGTAACAAACCACCCCCTTCTGCGACCTCCCTGTTGAGGATCCAGCAAACTTTCTTGTACGTTTCACATCACTACGCCACCGAAAGACCAAACAACTAGGGGGAGAGGGGGGGGGTCAGAATTTCACAGGCCATTCTCCGCAAATCCCACAAACACAGATTGAGAGCAAGGTTGAAAACTTCAGGCACATCTGTGAGGAAAAAAGCCTTATACGTGGTTGTGACGTTGGCTGTGTCTTTGTTTGTGCTTCTCGATGTCTGGTGGGGCCGCACGAGATCCGTGTGTTGCAAACGTCTAGTTCCTCAAGTCCCCAGACGGTGCTGCACAGAAGCTTGCCCAGCATGTGGTGGTTTTTGCATGTTGCTGTATTCTCTGGTATAGTATGTTATTAATGCATTGTGATTTTGTTTCTGTGCGTGTGTGTGCTTGTTTTTGCTTTGCTGTGTTTTCTTTGGTTCTTTGTTTGTGCGAGAACAGTGGGGCATGAAGGTTCTCCGATTGAAAGCTTTGTGTGGGATGGCGAGGCTGCAAGAAAACTTGGAGTCCAGGCCTGGAACCATTTGGATTGAGCAAAGCTCATCGTGTTTGCCAGCTTTGCTCAGTCGGTCGAAACTCTAGACACCAAGGCTTGCAACAGCAGGTTTGCAACCCAATAGTGACTAGTACAGTGGGGGCATGCTTCAACAGCTCGCTTTCAAGAAAAGGGTGACATGAGTTTGTTTCCACTGTGGGTGGGCTAATCCTGGGTATGTTTTTTCAAGCCTTTCCTAGCTTTGTTTGCTGTTATTGGGGCTTTTCATAGCTTTTCCTATGATGTCCAGGGTTTTGTCTAGGGCCTAGGGGACTGTTTTTGTGAACACTGTTCGACGGGATACCTCATGTGACCCTACGACTCATGCACCGTCTCTGGGGCTAACTCAGCCAAGGGGCATGGTTTTGTTGAACTGGGCAACCAGATCGGCTTGCGCCTGGGTCTCCGGTGGACATATACCTTCCAGCGGGTCCGTGTTGATGCCGGGCCCGGTGATGGTCGTGAAGGTGACCCGCCTTGCGCTTCAAACATATCAAGCCCAAAACACTCAAAGCTCCAAACAATGTCAGGTGGATCCAGTCCGAAAATGGCAGAACTCATGGTCCGCCGTCTGACTCTAGAGTTTTAGTCTCCCAGGTGCAGGTGCACCTTCCCGGTTCTCGGCAGGAATCCTTGTTTTCAATCCTGTCACATCAGCTTGGGCATGCAAGGGGCAACCTAAACCTTGAACATGCCAAGCATGTGACATGTTCGTCCTATGGCTTTGAAAGGGAAGCACATGCCCGTTCCCATACAGGCGAGCCAACAGCTCGTAGAGAGGTGTCACACGGATGGCTACAACTCACTTCCAGTCCTCCCGAGTTGTACCCTTGAGGTCGTACCCCTGATGAGGGTCTTCTGGTGCGGTCACAATGGCGAAATGGAAAAAAAGGACGTACCATAACATCATGGCTTCCCGGATACCATCAAAGCGAAGGTAGAAAACCGGCGGCAAACGTTGTCAACCCTGACAAAACCGAAGAGCTTCAATAAGCACGACGAGCAGCAGCGGCGGGGTGAATCGATTGGGCACAAAGCCGGTGCTGGCCAAGTCATCTCGGCTCAGGGCCTGAGGCGTCCTCAGCAACGCAGGTCTGGGGGGGTGCGAAGCTGAAGGAAACTAGGTGTTCCAGTAGAGAGACTAGAATAAGGGTACCCGATTTTTCTTCTGTGATCTATTTTAGTAGGGGAACCCTCCCCCAACAAAGGGTCAAAGGGCACTAAAAGGATGCCAGCTGGTTGTGTTGGCTTTGCATGACTCGCTGGAACTGCAAAAACTGCGTAAGTCGATACGCGCGTCAGTGGTTCGATCTGATTTGACTGTGTTGAAACCAGGGGCGCTAGGGAACCTGTGGCTTTCAACAAATCGAGGACGTGGAGCGGTGTTTGCTGTCCCTTCAAACCACAAGACGGGGGGCCCCCTGGTCACTAACAAATGTGCCCCCCTCCCCCCGCCCCCCCCAATTGGACGCATTGTTCCTCGGGTTGAGTCAGCTGCTCAAAAACTACTCAGGATGACTAGTGTCAAACATCGGGGCCGATTACTGTGGGACCCTGAATCATGATGGCACGCCTTCCAAAGTTTGGATGCTTAGACCATCCACATGCTTGGATCGCATAGCTCGAAGGCCATCAATATGCCACCGCTGCAGCTGGACGTCAGTTGTTCAGTGGTAGAAAAGCAGCCCTTCTATTCATTTGCAGTGGGAAGCCACCAAACAGAGAGGAAAACTGGCGTCAAAGCAAATGGAAGACAGTCCCTATCTCAAACTCAGAAGAGCATCGTGTAGCGGCAGCCTGCGGCTGTCTGGCAAGAATTTGCAGATGGGCACGCGGAATAGCCTAGGCAAACATGGCATTGCGAACGTGCTAGCGGTTTCCAGACATCGAAACATTGCAACTGGTGTTGCTTTGGAACTCGATGTGAGGCGATCTTGGATTGCCCTTTTCTCAAAGATATTCAAAGATCAGTTGCCCTTTTGCTGGCACCACGCAGTTGCACGGGTTGCGCGTCGCAGCCTGAGATTCCCAACTCTACTTCGACAGTCTTTCACGGAAAGGGAATCGTGGCTGACGTCTCCATTGCGGTGCCTGACGTGACATTGCGGTGGCTCACAAATGCGGCTTCCTGTTTGAAGCGCGGCTTTGTTCCACTCTAAATGGCACAGTGAAACCCGTCCTCCTAACCACAGTGACTTTGTTTCTCTCCGTTGCATGTCTGATGCCTCCTCCCATTCTAATGTGTTTGCTCTTTGCGGGGCGGGCCCCAATTTCAGAACCCTCTCAACTCCCTAAAACCCCTACACCCCCTAGGCCCCCTAAAACCCCTAAAACCCCTTAACCCCCTAACCCCCCTAAACCCCTAAAACCCATAAAACCCTAAGCCCCCTAAAACCCCTAAACCCCCCTAAACCCCCTAAACCCCCTTAATTTCAGCTAGCCTCGCCTCCCCCTGAGCTCCGGGCCGTACATGTTGTAGCACTGCTGGCACTCCATGAAGGCGCCGTTCCGATCCCCGCCGGCTGTGACGATGCAATAGTTGGGCCTGCCAAAGGGGTAGATGCGCCTTCGGCGGTGATCACCCCAGGAGTCGCTGTACATGTTGTTGTAGGCATACATGGCCTCAATCGCTCAAGCAAGCCAAGCAAGCCAAGTGCCTTCAAAGCTGCAAGCACACACACTACTACATGACATGACTTGCAGATCCAATGTGAGTTGTGCCTGTAAAGCAGCTGATTGTGTGCTTCATTCCTCCTCTTTAACCGCCAACTAGGACTACGCTGAACCGCAACCAAGATGACGAAATTACTATGATGGCCAAACTGGAGAATAAGGAAATCCCGGCAAAATAGCGGCTTTCATAGTGTGGGATCAGGTGAGCTCGCTACAATGTTTAAAGCACAATGGCCCCAAGTCGACCCGTCAAAAGTCTCTGTGAAGTCACCATGGACACGTACCCCTGGAGGCTTTACCGCACTACACGTGCATTGCCTTGTATTGTGTATTGCCAAAAGCAGGAAAGGGTTTTCAGTGCTTTCCTCTTTAGCAGGGGTGCTCCCGCACCCACCACCGCCCCAGCAACAGCGCCGCCGGCTGCGTACATGGCTACGTTGGCCGGCTTCTGGGCAGGCACAGCGTTGTAGCCCGAGTAGCCGTAGGGTGTCTGCATAGGCATGGTTCCACCATAATTGTTCCTGGGCTCAAGCGCGTGAGCCAAAAGTGATTTCGGAGCATCTGCCGAGCACGCTAACTAGGGCAATGCACTTGCAACATCATCTGGCTCTTTGCCAGGAAAATTGTATTCCTCTGTGAATTATTGTCAGCTTTGAAGGACTAGGCAGTACAAAAAACAATGTATCGTTGCATAGGCAGGTGGACCGCCTAAAGGTCTTGCAAATGTGATCCGCAAGGTTGACATGGAAAAGGAAGTGCCGTCGACTCATATCTCAATACTTGACTGCAACCAACGTAAACGGCAAACCATGTGTTCAAACCTATGAAGAGCCATGTATCCAATGCAACGCAAGCGACGTGCGGAACAGCTTGACCTGCAAAAGTCAAGTAAAACCGATTGATCAGTGCCAGGAGGATGTCTGGCAAAGTCAATCATGAGTTTCCCCATGGTTTACAAGGGCAAAGGACACCAAGGGCCGACTGCGCATTTTGACCGAAAGCCAATCATCATCAATCATCCAAGCAACTCTGAAGGTGCCAGGGTTTGTTGTAGAATGCTTCAAAACTTTCAGCGCACAAAACGATATGTGCGTCTGTCTCAGACGCGGTAAACCCCAAATTCGGTTAAGGGACAACGGCCGAGCAGGAAAACACCATGGTCCATTGAAAGCAAACTCCATGTATCTTTCGGAATATTCAACATGAAACGGGCTTTGGTACCTGGGTCTCTCAATAGAGAGACGGATTCCTTGGGTTTCCCTTCAAAGCTAACCCAAACGAGGAACCCTCGAAAAAGCAGCAACATGGGTCTCAAAATAGGGGAGACCGGTCGCCAATTGGGCAGCGCAAACCCCATGCATTGCTGGTTCATGGTTGTGGCTTACATAGTCTCCAATTCTACAAACCAGGTAGAACCAGCCGCTGAAATTGCCCTGGGCTGCTCAAAATGGAGGGTTGGCGAATCCTAATCCTTAATCCCCATAGAAGAGCCACTACAAAGGGACCCCTTGCGTAACCCCAGGTAAGGAAAAGCCGCGCTGTTTCCAGGCGGCCATGGGTCAAAAACCCGTACCCCCAGTGAACATCACAATCCCCCACTAAGATAGGTTCCAACATGGGTGGTGCATCGAAAACCCCCCAACATGGGATCCCAAAACGGTTTTGACCACCACAGCCAGGCGTCATCATCTGGGGGCGGCTGGCGTAGCCATAGGGCAGCTCCGGCTCAGAACGCCTCCGACGCAGTGTGGTGTCCGTGGAGCGGCGCCGCGGGCTGGTGGTGTAGGTGTTGCCGTCCATGCCTTTGAGGCCGAGGCAGCTGGTGGAAGGAAACAAAAACTCTTCCTTTTCTGGGCTGTCCTCAGATCCCCCGCTAAAAAGCTTCACTTTTAGTGGGTGAAATGGAAATCTCCACTAAACACTAAAAGCTAAAAGGCTAAGGAACCGGATGGCTGGGAGCCGCCAAGTTTCGAGGCAAAACTTGAGGCGAGTGGACATCGCTCCCAATTCAGATTGAACAAATCCCTGATCTGGAGAGAATACAACGGGATTCTGCTTGATACAAGGTGGTTATCTTGCAGGGGCATAGCCAAACACGACCTATTGACAAGCGGAAGGCCCAACGGTGCAGGAGGGAAGTAATTGTGTGCATGCTTTGAACCAAGTGACTTGAAAACATTCCAGCTTCAAGCATCCTACCCGAGCTGGAGCTTGTCAGTGCAGCCAACGCTTCCTGCTCATATTATATACAAACCGATGCCAGTGAGATGTAAGCAGGTTCACTCATATGGCCCGCACCCATGCGCATGTAACATGCATCTGAAAATGACCATTTTTAGAAATGTGAGGCCGCATGGAAAGCTGCCTGTCTGCCTGTCTGTCTCTGTCTCTGCCTCTGCTTCTGTCTCTGCCTCTGTCCGTGTCTGCGTCCGTGTCTGCGTGCTGGTGTTTGCTTTTGTGCGCGTGTGTGTGTGTGTGTGGGTGCGTGTGTGTGTGTGTGTGTGTGTGTGTGTGTGTGTGTGTGTGTGTGTGTGTGTGTGTGTGTGTGTGTGTGTGTGTGTGCGTGTGCGTGTGCGTGTGCGTGTGCGTGTGTGTGTGTGTGCGTGTGGGTGGTGATGTGGGCGTGTGGGTGGTGATGTGGGCGTGGGTTTGAGTGGGGGTTTGGGTGTGGGTGTCGGTGTGGGCGTGGGTGTGGGTGTGGGTGTGTGTGTGTGTGTTTCTGTGCCTCTGTCAGTTTGCTGCGTGTGTGTGTGTGTGTGAGTTTGTGTCTGTGGCTGTGTCTGTGCCTCTGTCTGTATCTTTGTGTTGTGTTTATGCATGCATGGGTGTGTTTCTGTGCAAGCTGCTGTCAACAGCTGTTTGGTTGTGTGCGTGTGCGTGTGCGTGTGCGTGTGCGTGTGCGTGTGCGTGTGCGTGTGCGTGTGCGTGTGCGTGTGCGTGTGCGTGTGCGTGTGCGTGTGCGTGTGCGTGTGCGTGTGCGTGTGCGTGTGCGTGTGCGTGTGCGTGTGCGAGTGCGTGTGCGTGTGCGAGTGCGAGTGCGTGTGCGTGTGCGTGTGCGTGTGCGTGTGCGTGTGCGTGTGCGTGTG